TAACAGGACATAGGTGGCCTTGGAGTTTAGACACCTCCTGTTGCCTCACAATTAATGTCAACATCACTGGCCAAATCCCTCCCACTTGCATGCACAAGACCCCCTCTGCAGTATTCACTGGGAAAGCACAGCCTTTCTCGGCTATTCTTTTACAAACCTGGAGGTCTGACTCCAGGGGACAAATGTGATCCCTGTACCAGATCCACAGAGAGTGCACTCACATCTATCCTACCCATAGATTTGGGAAGCCTCAATTGATAAAACATTTTGCTTTGTCCAAGTAGGCATGAGACTCATACAGAAAAGTAAGACCTCCTTGCCTCCTTTTTGGATGATGCGTTCATTTTTAAATAGACAATGGGAACCAGATCAGAACTGGAATAAATAATCTCCAAGGTATAACCTGGAAAGGTCCGAAGAGCTGGAGCATTGCTAAGAGACAAACAAAAAACTCCTGAATTTTTACACAGACTTTCTAGACATAACAGAATTGTAAGGACTTACATCTCAGCCCTGACACCTAGTAAGACTTCTACTCAGCCACTCCTACACATCTTTGGCTTTTGCATTGGTCCTTACTCTTTTCCCTCTTGTCTGGAGATTCATTTTCACTTGCATTTCTGAAGTTTCATCAGTCTGAAACTTTTTCCTACCTCTAAATTATCCATCATCTTCAAATCTTTTCTTGTAGCCCTCCTACCCCTTTTAGCTCATGAGTGGTGCACATGTGCTTAGGGCTGAGGGACAGTGGAGTCGTTTACTTCATCATACCTTGCACAATTTCATCTTGGGTGTAGGCATGGTTTTCCACTCCAGTTGTCTGCTTTATGAACTTGGGTTGGCAGAAGTCATTTTCTGGAGGGTAGTCGCCCAGCTTCAGAGGGGCAGTGAGGAAACAAATTTCAGGGACGATATACATTATCAGGAAGATCCATCCATTGGAGACCAGAGCAATGGCCACGACAGGATCATCCCAGCTATGGTTGTTTAAAAACGTGTTGCCTTTTGTGAGCATAGTGATCCACACCACCCAAATGGCAATGGAGAACAGGACAGTGACAAAGATGTGTGCCCCATGCCTCTTCCAGCTTTTGTATGACCCACAGAATGTGAACATGGAAACCAAGAAGGTCAGAGCCATCAAGAAGAGCACATAGATCAAAAGCATGACAAAGTCCTTCTTGGTATCCTCCTCAGACATATTCAGAAATGTGTCTTTCTGGTTTACTAGCATGGTGACTAAGTACTCAATGCTGATCACAACTTGTACCAGGGCAAAGGAAACAAGGAGGAGCAGCAACACCAGCCAGGAGAAGGGCTTTCTTCCTCTCACTAGTTTGTTGAGGTTGCAGGCATGGGTGAGGAGGCATGAGAAGCAGAGAGCAAAGATGACTCCAAATAGGAAGAAGCGAGTGGGGCGAGTCCTGTCATTGAGTTTAATGATGAAGGCAAAAGTGAGACCAAAAATGCCGAGTGTGCCTAAGAGAAAGAAGAAGTAGATGGAGATCATGTGCCGCTTGCTGTTGTCTTGGACTTTACAGATGAGAAAGAAGAGCGAGCAGATGAGGAAAATGGTGACGAGGACACCAGCGGCAGCCAGCGACTCCAGGACAATCCCCCAGGCCTTCTCCATGTCACAGAGCAGGTAATAGTCAGCATCGATGCTGCCGCAGCCTTGGGGAGGTGATGTTGCCATCCTCTTGCCTTCTTGAACAACCTCCCCGTGAAATGTTTTCCCAAAGCTGTAGAAGAAGAAAAGACACAGGCTGTCGTATCAACCACCTGGGTGCTGCCAGCAGAGGGGAAAGAGGGGCAGGACAGACATCCATCCCCACCTCACTGGGTGAGGACACCACAGTGCTAAGGCCCTCTGTCAAGAGCAAGCCAAGCCCCTTAGCAGGAGGCGATTCACCTCGCATGTCCTCTGCACCGTGCCTGGGGTTGTGCAATGTCGTAGGAGCGTGGGGAGCAGGGAGAAGGTGAGGCGCTTTCGCAGACATTAGCTTGGTGCCCTGCAGCACAGAGACTGAGCTGCCATGTCACTTTTGTGATACAAAAGCAGCTGTTAATCATAATACAGCTTACGCTCTTTTGACAAGTTCAAACAACATCAGTACCTTGTACCAGTGAGGTTCAGAGATGAGCAATGCAGAACAGGAAAGTCGTTACTCTGTTTCTTTTCCCTCTATTACTTTCTCTGAAGCACTCTTGGCTTTGGTTTATGGGTATGAATGAAGGGGAACTTTAACTGCCTTCTACCCTGCAGATAACTAACCTGGATGCCTCCAGCATAGCTCTTATCACTCCAAATTAAATCGCAAATATATGCCACCAACCATGAGCCCCAAACTCATATTCCTTCTTCTTCATGGCAGCGCCGCAATAAGAACCGTCTCAAAGACCTCGGTCCCTTGCCCAAGATATTGCCTTGCGCTGGCTGGAGGCCTGGCATGTCAGAGCTAATGCTGTTCATTGCACGGGAAGTAACCACCAAGTTACTGCTTGAGGAGTCCACGAGTCAAGGATGGACAAGGTCTCTACTACACCCAGCGCATTCCTGTTGTCTCGTCATGAGGAGTTCAGTACTGTCTGAGTAAGCCTGGCTTAAGCCTGTCTCGCCAGGGGATAAAAGGGCTGTTTAGGTGAGCTCTGCCCACTGCCAAGGGGAATTAAGTTGCTTATGTCCTTGGGAGCCTGAAGCATGTGCAGAAACCACTGCACGAGGACGTTGGGCACTTTGTGGCCCATTATGCAGGCACTGAGTGAGTTTAGATCCCGGGGGCCAGGTACTGCTTTCTAGGTACCAAATTGCTCAGTTAGGCTCGGGTCTCTAAAATCTATCAAAACAGGAGTTTTGATAGATACAATATCGGCATGAAACATGGGGGAATCTGGCCTTAATGGTGACCCACACTGGAAAACCAAGGGCTTTCTTTTCTGAGATATAAAGAAAAAAAGTTCCCTTTGCAAAATGTACTGTTTAGTGCTCGCTATGCTATTTGCCTTCATTTTCCCCCTCTAGAACAACACACTGCAGTTATGAGGCTGGTTCTAAAACCCTTCCAACAGATTTTAGGGAGGAGAGGTTGAGTATTCAATACATGGCAGCTGATCTAATCAAAGGATGAACGAAGGGAGAAAATATCACTGACTCACTCTTAGCCCCACATATGCCTCAATGTGACCTGCTTGTAAATGGTGGAGTATTTTTCCAGCTTTTAACCTCACTGTGTAAAAGGAGATGTGTAGCTCTCCACAAAGCTGGATACAATAAAATGCAAATTATGCAAATATGCAGGAACTCTGGATTCTCATGAAGAGAACGGAATTGGTGAATAACTCACACAGGAGTTTTCACAAATCATTCACAAAATTTTGGGGATTTATGATCTCTTGCACAAATAGCTGAGAGTTGTCTGGACATTTGTGAGTAATAAATAACAAACCTTTCTGAAAATCTGGAGAGAAAATGCTACAATTTTAACTACAGAAGTTTACTGTTGATCAGATAAGCTTATCTATTCACAGCTCTGGCAGATACAGACCGGTGCCTGCTGTCAGGGCAGGTGGAGAGCCCAGAGGGCCAGTGTGAGATCCCAGGGCAGCACAGAGCATACGCATGGCTTTGGGTCCTGACTGGTGCTTACTGCAAGTGGTACTTGCCACACAGTCGGCTGCCACGGCCCTTGGAACAAATAAGATGGAAAGAGCCTCACCGCCTTGGAGAACTGGGCCACTCGTGCTGATTTTTACTCCCTTTTCTTTTTTTCCAGGGTAGATGTCCTGTGAGGCATGAAGAGTCTCTGCCCTGTCTCCTGGGTGAGTGTTGCCCCCCAGAAGCCAAGTCTGCTCATCCAGCACCTACACAAGTGTCTGGGATTTCCAAGGGGTTCTGCAGTCTGTGCAAGGGAGCCTGTGCTGTGGTCACTTCACTACTACTGGGTCCACATCACAGCTCACCCCAAATCATGGTTCTCGCTGCAGTGCTGAGTGTTCTCCCTCCAGCCTAAGCCTCCTTTTTCATTGATATTTGTGTATAAAATACACCTATCCAACCACAAATTTCAAACCATTTCCCAGGAAAGTCTGCCATAACTCCCCCAGCTCCAGCTGGCAATCCCATGTTAGGGTCAAGGGTGGGACGCAGTCTCTGTTTGCTGTGGCACCCCACCCCCCTTCTTTCCCACCCCCCAGAGTCACTGTCCTGCACGCCATCCCACCCCAGCCGCAGATCCTGTAGGACATTGCCTTGAATTACCTGTCTGGGTCCTGCCCGGAGAAGGCAACAGGGAGGCTCTGGATAGAAAAGGCAACTTCCCAGTGCACCAGTAACACAGTCACCTCCGCTCCTGTTAACCCCAGCCAAGCAGCAGCCCCGCGTTCGCCCTCCTTGGGAGCTTTAACAGCTGGAGGGCTGAGGAGGTGTGGCTGAGCACGCCTATTCCAGTTCCACAGCCTTTCCTCTCTGACAGGACACGGCTATGAAAATACGGTCCCCGTGCCAGGAAATGAAGTAAGGCCTCTTGACGTCAGCAGGGCACTCACCCCTGCGTTGGGGTGGAGATGGAGCCGCTGCCTGTCCCAGCCCTGGGACAGGATTGAATGCTACTCAGCCAAGCGCCTGATAAAGTGTTCCCCTGTCTGACCCCTGGCACCCATGGGTGGGGACCGTGGCTATGAATAGCAGTGCATCTCCTCCCTGCTCCAAGCCTTTTGTCTCTTTGCATGCTTCTTGCTAGATAACTGATTGCAAGGTGGAAAATGAAGAGGTTGTGGGATGCAAACAGTCCCACAGCACCTGGAGGGAGAGTGGCTGCAAGCCTGCCTTCAGAGACAGTTTCCTCAGGGCTCCTGCTGGTCACTGTGTCTGTGTGCGGGGACACGTCTGCTCCACTCATCCCTTCCACCTGTGCCAGTGAGAGCTATGGGCTCCTTTCCTGAAAAGGGCAGTTTGCCTTTCCTGGTGTCTCGCTCAGCCCAGCCCTGCTCTCCGAAGGTGCAGTTCTGTCTGCTTGTGAGCGCTGAGTCACTTTGTCCAAATTGCTGGCTCAAATGGTTAATGAATGAAGGCAATGACAAATTCCCCCTTGGTCTACATTGTGCCTCCGGCATGACACACCTGTCGGCGCAATCCCATCCAAAGCCCTGGGTATCTCCAACGTGTTCATGACTTCATCTGCTATTTTAAATATTACTCACTGGGAGTATTTTATTATTCTGATTAAGGAATTGACATCAGGGCCTATCCACACCAAGCACTCCGTCCCTACACACAGCCCCTAAACCTGGAAATCCCTCCCACCCCATGGAGTTTGTGCTCCTTCCCAAAACTGGGGGAGCAGCCTGTGTTGTACAACACAGCCTGTACATGCCTGTGTTGAGATCTGACTGCCCATGGTTGTCTCATCTGCATGTTAAATTTGTTTGGTTTTTGTTTGTTTGTTTGTTTCAGGGCCCCTGGCTTATTTCTGGGTGCTGATCCCTTTTGAATGTCACATGTGGAGATTGCCACAAAACACATAAAAGAGAGTCCTCTCTTGCACACCACCTAGACCTACACGAGGGCCCGCGGGGATGAGTGGCTTATCAAGTGAAAGGCAATGCTCAGTGCAGTCACTGCAGGGTGGGCCATGCTGAACCTTAGGACAATTCCTCATGTTCTTCCTACTTTCATTTCAGTGTAAAATCCTGAGGCTTCTTAGGAAAGGACATAACAGGTTTCTTTACATGAAATTAATCTTAACTTTAAAGTAGGTCCCAGGCTTAGTGAGCCAGCCAAGAAGGAGGCATCTGTGAAAAATAAGAGGAGGAAAGAAGGAGTGATGGAGAGGAGTTTAGCACCAGCTCAGTGGGATCCAACTTGTCTAGGAAGACATCCCAAGAAGCTTTCAAAGGTCACTGGTCACTGCCAGCCCATTTCCATCTTGTCAGATCACATTATGGAATGCCAGCTACTTCCCTACATTTACACAGACACACAAAACCCCATGGAAGGCAGCATGTCAAATAATATCAGGTTTGTGGGGGAAAAAAGAAGAAAAGATAAGAAGAGTAACACTGACGTTTTCCAGAATGCCTGAGAAATCCTTGAGAGTTAGTCATCAAACACACCCTGTACTTTCAAAAGACTAATAAATGGGGCTACATTTTAAAAAAACATCCCAAGTGACTTAAGAGCGCAAGTGCTGCTGACTTGTGGTAGGTAGGCTGAGAAATGGTGCCCATGGCCCTCATGCTATGCCGAAGGGTGGAGAAGAAGCACTAGTCTACATGTGTGAGTACAAACAGCATGACAGTCACACCAGAAAGGTGAGACAACTGTCACCTCGCTTCAGGGATGGGATGCAATTTGCAGATAGAGGCACCTAAATTTCGATGTCTGACAGTTATTACCTAAATGTGAGCTGGGTGCCTCAGCTCCCAAACAGCCAAAAAGTCAGAAGGACTGGCCCAGCTGATTGGATGCAGGTGCCTATTTCTGTGTGCACTGAAATGCTCCCAGGTGTGGTTGGCTGGATTGCCTGGGGCCTCACCTTAGTTGCTTGCATGTTGGCATATAGTGTCATCTGAGATGCCACAGGGTATCCTGCTCAGCTTCCAGGGATCACTCCAGGAGTATGTGGGTCTCCCATACCTCCTGTATCAGATCTGGCAGTCCCATGCAGATGTTTTGGATACTCCCAGGCATCTCAAATC